GATGAAAATATGGCTTCTACTTAAGGAATGTCTTCAGGTTTGTCAAATGAAAAGCATAGTTTAAGAAGCTGGCATGTCCAAATAGAAGGTCATTTTACCTTCAAAACAAATGAACTCCCTTCTGCTGTTTGACTATTGGTAAACATGTCTTTGTCACCATGCTTATATTTTCTTCCTCTAAGATATTATTGCCCTCACAGGCTTTCTGAGACTCTAAATCTCAAAGAAACTTTCCTTCTTCAATTCATGAGAAAATTATGCGCAAACATCTTATTTTCTCAGTTGCCAAATATATATGTAACCCACTGTGCCTGTAGGCATGTGTTTTAAATAAGATAAAGGGTATAATTTTCCTGTATGAGCTTATGTGTAATATATTCTATATAATGTTTTGTGTTCTACAAACTTTAGAAACTCTGGGAACCAGGGATACATAGCCATAATGAAGGTGAAGGGGGGTGGGATGCCCCTGAGGGATCACCCACTTTCTCAGCTGTCCTCATTACATATTAGCACATGAAATCTGTGGAACATCCCATGGAACCCAAAGAAATTTCAGAAGCCAAAATACAATCTGGTAAGTTTTGCTTATCACCCCTAAAGTCATCATTGAGTTCTAAATAACAAACATCCTTCACAAACCCTCACACCCTGTGAGGACTCTGACCTTGGTTCTTCCCACTCAGGAAACCCCAACTCAATTTTCTGCTTCATGGTCCTGGTCCTAGAACTTTATGAGTGGGGTCATGTGATTTGTACATATTTTGGGGGAAGGTCTGGGTATCCTGATTTTAGAGTCACGTAGAGATGTGCCAGTTGCTCATTCTTTCTCACTGATGAACACAAACCCTTCCCATTTATTCATCCCCCCATCCGTTAGCAAGAGGGTGTCCTTAGTCTTTTGGATTTTCTTTGCATATAACAATGTCATCTGTGGCTGATTCTCAGTCTCTACTAACCTCTTATTCTTTTCAAGTCTCAGGATAGAGTTGACACACAAGCAATGGCCACAACATCATTGTTTCTTTCCAAGTCAGGCTAAGGTTTTTACATGTCACCATTGTGTGTTATCATAGAAGAGTTTTTTGGTTTTGGTTTTGGTTTTGTTTTTTTTCAGTCTTTTTGAGACAGGGTCTCCCTGTAGTCCCAACTGGCCTGAACACACTATGTAGACCTGGCTGGCCTTGAACTCACAGAGATCCGCCTGCCTCTGCCTCCCAAGTGCAGGGACTGAAGGCATGCGCCACCACGCCTAGCTTATAGCAGAGTTTTTATAGATAATTTTTTATAGATTTATGAAGTTTTGAGGTTTCCCCTTTTATTCTAATTGGATATAGGATCTTGCCATATAGTATCAAAATTAACCAAATATTTCTATCACTGGAATTTTTTATTAATATTTTGTTTGGATTTTTTTGTAGCAATGCTTATGGGAGGCCTGCTTTCCCCTCCCTTGCAATGTCCTTGTCAGATTTTAGAATGAAGAATGAACTGTGGCTGGAATGTCTTTTCTACTGTCTGGTAATGTTTATGCAAGATGAACATAGGTTTTGATGAATCAACCTAGACCTGGCATTCTTTTTCAATTTTTAAAATGGATATGGAACTGGTAATGTTCTGCTTCTTTGTCTATTTGGTAAATTGTTGAACTTTTCTCTGAATTTGACATTTCTTACAGATTGCCTAACTGGCTGTATGGTGTAGCTCAAAGTATCCTTGTATTAGTTTGTTGACAAGAATGAGTTATCTTCTAGTGTGCTGTGTTCCTGATGCTGGTAGCTCATGTGTTTTCCCTTCTCTCTTTACTGCCATCTCACTAGCTGTCAATCCAGGTAGTCATTTCTCAAAAATGTCAATGGTTATTGATTTTTCTCTCTAACAGTTAGCCTTGTGTTTATTTACTTCTAATTTTGTTGCATTTAATGTGCTGTTTCTGTTTGTATGTTGTTTGTTTATTTGTTTGTTTGTTTTGAGACTAGATCTGACCATGTATCCCAGGCTGGTTTGGAACTCTAGAATTTTCTCTATTCCCCTGCCTTAGCTTCCCAAGTGCTGGGATTATAGATAATCATACTATATCTGGTGTAGAAACAACCCTGTATTTGTTGTTTTTTTCAGTGCTGGTGATAACCCAGAACCTCATGAATATTAGGCAAATACTTTGCCACTGAGCTACATTCCTCACCCACAGTACTGTAACCCTAGACCTCTACCTTCTTAACATACATGCCTCTGTCATTAACTTTCTTCTTGATATATTTAACCTATAAAGTTCCTTTTAAGATGGACTTAGTGGTAAACTATAAATTTTGAGCTGTCATGATTTCATTAAGTTCTTTAAGATAGTTTTTTTTTATTATAAAGCAGTATATATTCAATATTCTAAACATGGAAATTAGATAGGCACAGCAGAAAATAAGCAGTCTGTACTCATCTCACCCAAAATGACCATAGTTGAATTTCCAGATGTGGATTAACAGTGACTTTTTCAGAATCTATTAAGTATGGTAAATGTATCATTTCAGAGTTGTTTTACTACTTCCACCATTTAAAATACTATTTTATAGTCTTTTTAAAGCAGCAAATCAATCGTGTCATCATTCTCAACAGGAAAACCATTTGTATCATGATATGACCACTTGAATAAAAGAACTAAACCACAGAGAACAAAGTTGGCAACTAGCTGGATTCCTAGAAGAGGCTGCCAGAGGGGAAGTACCCATAAAAAGCCCAGGGAGAACTGAGAAGTTGTACCTCTACCTGCTCTCCCTAGTGGGCAGACAAGACCCCACATACCTAGTGACCCATCGCACTGGCTCCCAGGTGGCCTTTCTTTAGGCCATATTTTGTAAAATATCTATCGATTCTTTTCTCCAAATTAGTAAAGTTAAGTAATTTTTAAAACACTATTGAGAAGAATTTTTGTCTATTATGAATTGCACCAGAGAAATAAAACAAATCCTTAAGCAGTGGCCACTTTAGGGACATGAATATTTAATAGACCATCTCTACGTTCAGGAATTCAAAGATAATTGGGATTAGCGTTGATCTCTCAGCTGCACTAAGGGCCCTGTTATCGACTTATACTTGCAAATGAAATGGAAAAATTCTCTATTTCAAAAATACCAGGAAATCAATTTATGGGCTAGGCCATAATCTTATATCGTGACTTTATGAGGAGTAGTTTTGGCTTCCTGTCAAGTTTGTGGTAGCAGTACGTTTCATAGATACAGTTGCTAAGTGTATTAGGAAAAAACTGAGAACTCTCACTCAAAAATAGCCATGGCATAGTTCACCATTCCCACAACACTGCCTAATCTGACAAGGACATAAAGCTGAGGGGTGATCTATGTCAGATGAGAGAGAAGAGGGTTAATACTTATTAAAGTCTGTATTTTGTGTATTTTCAGGGTGAGTGAAGTGTGCTACAACTGCTTAATCAGCTTAATGGCTGCACATATAGACTCTAGCATGCAGACAAGGGAAGAGCATCCACCCAGATAGTTTCCTGGGGGCTCCATGAGCAGCCCTTCTGAGGTTATTGAAAAACTTAGATGAAATATGAGAGCTATGTAAAGAAATACAGCGTGGAAGACACGTGAGACATAGTCTAATTTCAGAGCAGAAAATTAAAGCTTGTAAATAGAATTATAGGGGAGACAAGTTTTATTCAATGGAATTACATATCCCTTATAGACATTAATCTTCATCTCTCAGGATATACAACTCAGAAAACTCAAAGGAAAATTTCCTAAAAATGAGAATTGTCTGAAAAACAGAGCACAGGTTATGGTGGCAAGCTTTGCAAATGTAGATCTGTGCAGGCAGGCCTAGAATGCTTGACTTGCCAGTGATGAGAAGAATGTGTTGTGTATTTGGTCTTTGTGTTTAATGACCTTTAAAAGTATAAAATGTGCCTGAGATGGAATGAAGAATTTTGTGTCATATTTTTTCTCAGTCTCCATGTGCACTCTCAAGTATCTGTACTACAATCAGAACTTCCTTATGTTGGTAGCAATATGTGTATCTCCTGACTGACCCTGTATACAGTACTCCTCCCCCTGGACACCTGTGCAGGGCTATACTGCACCCACCAGCACCTAAAATCAGCTGTGGGTGTTCAGTGGTGGGTTGCTCACATAAACTCCCGAGGTCAATTGTGGATGCCCATGTCTACTCAGTAGTACAGCACTGACATTTTGAAGGCAGCCAACTGAGAGTATTTACACCAGGAAAATTGGCAAATGTGCAACTCATAACTATTTTACCCAGAGATGGCTATTGTCTATTACTAGCATGCCATGGACTTATTTACATGCCAATTTCTGCTAATGTAAAAATCCAAACTCAATCTCTATTTCAAAATGTAACCTGTTGCTAGTTCATATGGACAAGTCATCATTACTTACATTTTATTCTTTTATAAAAGGTACTAAGTAAAATGTAAAGAGCCTAAGAATTCATGGACTCTTATTTTGTATGATTTGTATATACTAATAAAAATGAGAAAGGAAAAAAGAATTGATAGATTTTAACCATATGTGGTAGCACAGGCTTATGATGCCAACATGCTGGAAAGTGAAGCAAGAGTATCTCAAATTTGAGGCCAGCCTGGGCTGGGCTATAAAAAAGTTCCTATCTCAAGAAAAATAGATAAATAATAAGAATTCATTTTTTTATTCCAAGGCCATCAGAAATTAAATTTTAGTCTCCAAAAGACAACAACTATTATATCCCTTAAAAACACATTAGATGTAACAATTATAATAGCTGTAAGTATATATATCCTTTTGTGGGGCAAGAGGTACAGGCTATTAATTGTGTAATGGTTAACCTTAAGACCTTAGATGGTATGATTGCTTGAGGTAACATTGAAAGTAACTGAAGAAAATAAATAGTTTAAATCCCTTTTCTAATAAAACTACAAAATCTTGCTGGAAAATTTAGCTTTGTTATGGCTTTATCATACTAAAAACTATTGCATTTGAATTTTGTAACAGATCTGGACCTTCATGATCAACCAAAAAGAAGAAGAATTAGAAGGCGTAAATCAAAGAAAAAAGTTAAAAACCCCAATGATGTTATAGAACAAGCAGAATTAGAGCAACAGCAGAGTCTTTCACAAGAGAAATTGCACCCACAGCACACAGATGGCCCCACGATGAGCAGAAATCGAAGAAGAAAGCTGAAGAAGAAGCTGCAACTCAGGAGGAAGAAAGCAGCCGGCTTCGTCACGAAGGCCTGCAGTGGTAGTTTCATGTATCAGCCTGAGGAGAGCAGCAGTGAGCAGGAGGATGTGGGAAGTGCTGCAGGCGAGGCAGAAGATCCTCAGGAAGAGGACACACTCACAGACACCACTCAGGATATCACTGAGCTTGCCCACAGCAAGGCAGACAGCATCCTAAATTTTCTGAAGTCAACACAAGACATTTATTTTTATGATAGTAGGTTATTTTTCTGTTTTCCTTTAAATATAGACATCTACTTAATATCTGGAAAAATAAACAAATGTAGTAAAATATTTAAGTGCTTACAATGTAAAACACATTAAAATGTAAGTCTTAGTTATTTTCTCATTGCTCTGATAAAATACCTGACAACAGTAACTTAAAGAAGAAAAGTCTTATTTTGACTTAAATTTCTAAGGTACAATCCATTGTGGTGGGAAAGTTGAGGCAGTAGGACCTTACAGCAGCTAGCCACATTATATCCACAATCAGGAAGAAGAGAGTAATAAATGCTTGTGCTCAGCTCATTTTCTCCCTTTTATAGAGTTCAGGATTCTAGGCCACAGAATGGTGCTACCCACAGTGGATGGGTCTTCAAATCTTATTAGCCTAATTAAGATAATCCCCCAGAGACATACCCAGAAGGCCCAAATGATTCTAGATTTCACTGAATTGACAGTTGGGATTAACCGCCACAATATTCAAAGTAAATAAGTTTCAAGTCAAAACTTATATTTCAGTTCTTTCCTCCATGGAGCTGACTCCTGTATGTGATTTCTCCTGTGTACCTTGAGAGGAAGCAGCAGCTAGCACTGTGAAGTTGTGGCTGGCTGTATATGTGGACTGGGCTCATATTCTTTTTCAATTATTTATTTTTCACTTTTTGGTCTTTTTGAGGTAGAGTCTCCCTGTTGCCCCAACTTGCCTGAAACTCACTATGTAGACCAGGCTGGCCCCTGTCTCACAGAGATTTGCCTACCTCTGCCTCCTGAGTGCTGGGACTAAAGGCATGTGCCACCATGCCTAGCTTCTGTTTTAAATTTTTATTATTTATTTTTATTTTATGTGTATAAGTGTTTTGTCTGCATGTATGTAAGGGTGCCACATGCACACATTGCTCTTGGAGGCCAGAAGAGGACATCAAATCCCCAACACTGGAATTACAGACAGATGTTAGCTACCGTGTGGGTGCTGGGAACTAAATCCAGGTCTTCTGCAAGAGGAAACCAGTGCTCTTAATTGTGAGTCATCTCCAACCCCTGGGCCCATGTTCTTTATTCATCTGAAGTCAGACTTTGGAATGGGTTGATATTCTGGGTTATATTTCTAAATAAAGATTAATCTAACTGACTGCTTTGAAGTAAAAGCCACAGCTTTCTCTGAGGCACAGTAATTTTATTCCTGCATATATGAGCTACTGGCTTAAGTTTTCAGTAAACATTTTTTTAGTAACTATGCATATTTGGATGGGATATGATAAAAAAATCAAGATTTATTTTCATGGTTGACAATTGCTCATATTTTCATAATCTTTTACTGGCAACTAACCTAAGGATTAGGAAGCACAAGTGCCACTGGGCATGGTGGTGCACACTTTAGTCCCAGCACTCAGGAGGTAGAGGCAAGTAAATCTCTGTGAGACCAAGGCTAGCCTGTGCCGGCCTCCCCTCATCCACTGCCACCTGGAGACCGTTGCACACTGGTCCCCACAGGGGAAGGTCAGGGCAAGGAAAGAGACCGGTCGGGGGAGGGAGGCCTCCAGGCGGTGGTGAGTACGACAGAAAGAAACACCCAGGAGGCTGTGTCAGTGGACAGCTCGTTTATTATGGCAGAAGCAGAAGTTTATATAGGAAAGTTTCAAGGGCAAAGAGGCAGAGTTGGGTTTTTGGCAGGTGGGGGGAGGGAGGGGGCTTCTAAGGCTACATGGCCTTTGTCCTGTCCTCTGGTCCAGTGATCTACAAGAGACCTGGTTAGGATTAAAGGATTAGAGGCCTGATAGTTTTGCTTGGGGGTTGTTGGGTAAGAAACAATGTGTTTAGAATGGAGTTGCCCTGGTTCCTGCTGTCCTCACTAGGAGGTATCCGGCCTGGAGGCCATGCTGTACATTCCAGGCACTCTTGACTTACCCCAACAGCTCCCCTCCGCCTTTGTCTTTTATAAGGGGTGAGTGTCATCAAAATCAGAGAAGGTACTAGGGATAGTTTGGTACTGGACCAGGACTTGGTTGGTGGCGATTTTAATGATGTCCTACATGCGACCTTTGAAAAATTGAATTAGACAGGGTGCCATGAAAAGCAGGGTACATAAGGCTAGCAGGGGGCCTAACAAAGGTAGGAATCAAGCAAGGAGGGCGTTGGAAAACCATGGAAAGAAAAATCCTCAGGGTAGATGAGCTGGTCATCTTGACAGTTGCCTTGAGGAGGTGAATAGTGGGAAGAAGGAAAGAAAACTTTGGAAGCCATTCAGGTTTAGAGGCTGCATGGAGGTCAGACACAGGGCTGACTCACAGCCACATGGCCGGGAGAAGGAAGCTTTAGAGAAAAGGTGAAGTACAAGATGCTAGGGGCAGTCCAAACCCTTAAAGAAAGCATGTTTAGAAAGAAAGGCATGTAGAAGAAAAGGAGGATTTATGCATTCCTGAAGAGTTCAGGAAAGCGGACAGACTTACAGAGACCTACATGGCTGTGGCTGGTCTGAAAGTTCTGTGGAGGGCTAAGAATTGACCAGTGAGACTGGAAAAGTAGGTCCTCCAACAGATAGACTAGACTTTTTTTTTTTTTTTTTTTTTTTGGTCTTTTTGAGACAGGGTTTCCCTGTAGCCCCAGCTGTCCTGGAACTCACTCTGTAGACCAGGCTGGCCTTGAACTCACAGAGATCTGCCTGACTAGACATTTTTATAGTCTAGACTAGACATTTTTATAGTGTGAACCAGTTCAATTTATGGGGCTTATTGAAATTCTAACATTCCCTCCTCTGAAGAGGCAACCCTAAAATCTTTTAGGGATAAGAGCACCCAAATACTTTTAACATTTTTGGCCTTTAGGACAGAGTACGTTGCTAAAAGGCCCGAGGAAATTTTGACTTTTAGCCAAGAAAGAAACTGGTTACTTTTGAGAGGGGAGGGTCTTTATTCCCTAACTGTCTAGCCAATTCCTACCTCCTATTCTTATCACACCATCCTCTGAAGGGGTTTACCAAAATTGCCGGTAGGGAATCGGGATGCAGACCATTCTGACTTCTTCCATACTGAACAGGGACGCAGGGTGAGGCAATTGGGGTACCCCCTTCAGTGGGTCTATCTAAAAGACTACCAAATTGTGTAACTTTTAATTATAGGGAGAAAAGAAGGTCCTTGACTTGTGCCTAGGAGATGTGAAGGAAAAGTAAAGGCAAGAGTAGTTAGTATTACAGTTTCTAGGCAAGGAACCAGAAAAGGTCAGAACAGGGAAATTTTCAAATGTCCAAATTAAAGTCTATTAGAATTTCTTGATGAGAGCTTCCAAAAGCATCCATCTACTGGGTTCCTCATTTTTTTTTTTTTTCTTTTGCCTGTCAAGGCTGGACTAATGATTGATGAACTCAGGATTTGTTGTCAGGCACTTTGATAACTGTTGAAGTGGTTAGAATCAGTTTTCTTTTAAATGACCTTTAGATAGGGAGAGAAAACAAATTTAGTCATCATTTTAGAACAATAGTGGGTTGTCTTCCTCAGCTGTAGGTGGGCACTACAGTATTGTAGACCAAGAATTGAAGTCTTACAGTTGAGTAGCCTTGTCTTACTAGGAACAAAATTATTAATGACAAATAATTGCATAAATAATATAAGAACTTAAGTCTAAGTTCTGGGATGTATAATCCCTTGAACTCTTAAAGAAATACACTGATGACTTTAATCTTTGTTATGCTTTTGCTTATACTTTTCTTTTGGGTGTTTAAGACCATACAGTTGGCCCAAATAAACCTATTTATTTTTATTTTTAAGGTTATTTGAGGATCTGTTCCTCAGGGGTCATAAGGGCTTTGGGGGGAGCCCCTGGCTCCTCTGGCTTTTCTTTTATCAGTTTTATCTGTGTGAAGATAAATTAAGGGGTCCTGTTTGACCTGGGCTTCATTTGGAAGCACAGAGGAAATGTGTCCTCTGTGTTGACCCTCCTCTTTGTAGACTGGACACTGGTTCAAGTCCATCTTGTGGTGTCTCCTTGGCCTCCCTGAACAAGAGGACAGGTGATTCACCATAGTTACAGGACATTTTGAGAGATGCTCCAGAGTCCTCTGGAACTTAGTCGACCTTGGAGGGCAAGGAACAAAAATTTGTCCCTTTAAGTCCCTCTGACCAGATTAGTATAGGCCTCAAAGTCTGGTTATTAAACACCCAAGAAGGTTAGTTACACCAGTCTGGTATTTTTAATTACCATGTGCCATGTAGATAAAGCTTGGGCAAAAATCAAACATTCTTAAATAAACCTGGATGAGACATCCTTAAACTAGTTGACTAAACTATGACCTTAGAAATTTTAAGATTATATATTATTTTTGTCTCATCCTTGATAAATCATTAATAAACATGCATAGATCTCCATCATTTGTTTAGG